GGGCTGTTGCCACCTCCCAGCGCTAGCACAGGGGGCAAAGGGGTCCCAGGTCATGCTGGGGTGCGTGGGCACCAACCCTCCTCACGGCCCAGCCCACGCCCACCAACAGAGGTGCCCAGTCTGACTGCGATGCAATGACAGGAAACCTGTGCTCCAGAGTTCTGAGTGATGCTGCACCAAAAATTCCCTCTGGTACCAAATACCTTTGTTTGGATCATTTTGATTATAACATCCCTTGCATGGACATCAATAGTACAGATTGTCATGATCTTCATTCTGTCTCCAGCACTCAGGTTCCCAAGGAGCAGGGAAATCAGGGCATTCAGCCGAGCGATCTGGGCAAGCACAGAAACATTGGGCATAGAGACGATGCCCTCGTTTGCTACCTCTCGATGACTCCTGGCCTGGCAGAGGGGCTCAGGCCGGCTCCAGGTCAGGTGCAGAAGATGCCAACCTGCTTTTTATTATAATCCTTCAGGGCATTCTCATAACCTTTCTCCAGACTCGCAAAGGCAACTCCAACTTCTGTAGTCCAGGCGATCTGGGTGCCCGTGAGAGCGATCTGCAGCAAACCATGGGGACAAGACAGCCATGAAGAGGAACCTGCTGTGGCTCCCGGGGCTCTCTGCCCCTCCTCCTGCCCCTCTCAGCAGCACCCACCTGGGCTGGGTAGTCAAACACCCACTCCTCCCGTGGCTTGTCCTCGTAGGTGCCCAGGGCCTGGGGCATGAGGCTGCGCAGCGTCGAGCGCATGCGCTCCAGCAGCCGGTTCAGCCACACCTCCACCTGAGGGGCACACCTGCACAGCTGAGCGGGCAGCTCCAGCCCTGCCAGGCTGCACAAACCTCCCCCTGCACCTGGCAGTGCCCTCAGAGAGAGCCCAGTGCCAGTCCTGCAGGGCACATCCCACGGGATGTGAGCAGGGGTGGTCTGAGGGCAAACAGCCCAGGGGAAGCACCCTGCAACCCTCGAGGGACAGGGAGGCTGAGCAGGTTTACACCACTGTGCTGCTCTCCACCTGCAATGCAGGTGCCATTTCTGGGGCTTTTGGCAAAAAATCTCTGTAATTGCATTTTAATACTCCTGCCAGGCTGTTAGAGCACAACCAGCAAAAGGCTCAGCCCATGCCCAGCCTGCCCCCTGCCCCAGGCTCCCTGAAGCCCAGCTGACCTGGCCAGACAGGTCACACTCTGCATCAAAGTCCATGTACTCCCCGTCCCGGCTGAACATCCCGAGGGCCACCTTCTGGGGCTTTTTGTCTGCGTCCTCCTGGAACTTCAGCTTGGCCAAACTGTCAAACAGCTTCGTCAAGTGCCGGGACACCTGCGAGCAGAGCACAGCCACTGTCAGGACCCCGTCACCTGCAGAGGGGTGATCAGCACTGGATCTACCCCTGAGCACTGCACCTGGGCACTGCACCCCTGGGAAGGCAGAGAAGGGATGGTGCTCTGCCTATAGCAGTGAAAAATGTTCTAAAACTGCTCAAACAAGTGCGGGGAAATGGCAGAGGACTCAGCCCCATGCTCACACACAGCCTATACCTCAAGGGGCTCGGTCCCCTTGGATAAAATATCCAGTAGGTCTGCAGAGGAGACAAAATAGAACCGGGGAAAGGCCAATCTTTTGGTCTCCAGGTATTCAGCCAAGGCCTTCTCACAGACTGCCAGCCTGCAGAAAACAGAAAATCCTGCTTTAACCCCCATACATGGGCTTTAGCCTTTGCTCAGTCCTTGTCTTGCTGATGCTTTGGAGAACCAACCCTTCCGTTGGCCTCCCAAATGCTTCACCAGGATCACTGGATCCTTACCTGTCCTGCAGCGCTTCCAGCTTGGTGTGCAGCCCGGGCTTGTTGGTGCACTCAATCACGTTGGGAGTTTTTACTGCATCAGCCACTAGAGCCTGAAGAGGAAAAACACTTCAGCCACCCGAAGTGGCAGAGAGCTGCAGGGAAAAGGAGAGGTGGAATGGGCTTCTCACTCGGAAATCCTCGTCAATGGTGTCAAATTTCTTGGACTCCTCTGGCAGTTGACTTCGTGTGTCTTCGGATGCTATGAAGATTGTTTCCAGGTGACTCCACTTCCTCTGTACCTCAAACCAGGTGTTGATAACAGTGTCAGTGGTTGACAGCTTCTCCTGCCACTCCTGTGCCCTCTGAAGGAAGAAGGCTCGGTACTTGGATGCCAGCACGTTCTGCAGCTGCATTTGGTTGTCCTCCAGCGTCTCAATGAGTGCCTCATCCATCTTGAGCAGTGGGAGCTGGGTCCTGCCGTGGGGCTCATACTCAAACGCCATTGCTGCCCAAGTAGTGTCCAGGGCATTCAGCACCTGTGGTTGGGGCAGGAGGATGAGCTGGGGGCCGTGGTGAGGCCCCAGCCCTGTGGGGCAGCAGGGGGATGGATGGAGGAGTGGCAGCTCCAGGCGTGGCTCCACGAGCCCTGTGTGCTCCCTGTGGGCCCCAGGAACCGTAACACAGGGCCTGGCAGCCACGGAGTCACGCTGGCACAGGGGTCCAGCAAGGCAGGGGAGGAGCTGAGCCCCCTTTACCTTCTCCATCCCGGCCTCCTTTGTCGCTTTGTCCACAATGCCGCGAACCTCCTCCTCAAACTTGTGCAGGTTGAGCTGCAGCAGATCCGCCAGGGTGGTGTTGTCGGACATGGTGAACTCCACCTGGAGCAGAACCAGCATGGTTGGGCCATGGGCTCCCCTCCACAGAGAGGAGTCCAGCAGCTCACCCAGACCAGCTCTTTAACACCCACAGCTAGAGATGCCACACAAACATTTGCATGTGGCCAGATTTGAGCCTCACGGCCCCCTTCCCTTGCTGGGTGTGGATCTGGGGAGCCTCCTGGGCTGGGGGCTGGAGGCTCCTGGGCCGGGGATGGGCAGGAGGGCTCGGAGCACCTTGGCTGTGTGCATGAGCTCCTGCCAGTGCCGGTCCCTGATGGCCGGGTTCTGCAGCTCGCTCACGGCGCGCAGGGACGTCATCATGTTCTTCACGCTGCTGTCCAGCCCCGTGAACGCGTTCCAGCTCTTCACGTCCTTATCCAAACCCCGGATGTCTTTAGCAAATTTCTTGCACTCAATATCCATATCCTCAACGTTGAGCTCTGCCCACTTGGTTGTGTTCCAGCTGGTGATGCTCAGGTTCACCTGGACCAGGATACATTCGCACAGCACGGGATTAGCAGGAGCATTCCTGCCCAGGCAGAGGAGCAGCATACCCAGTGCCTGCACGCCCTGTGGGCCCACAGGGCCCCACTCATGCACACACCACGCAGACCTGCTCTAAGAGTAACAACCTGCCCCAGGTCTCATCTTCCCTCTGATGGCCACGAGCTCTCTGAGAAGCTGCAACAGCCCTGCAGCTTTGGTTGGCAATGGCAGCTGGCACCAGGTGCCTGTGCTGGGTGCCCATGCCAGCCACGAGCAGCCTGCTGCCCAGCCCTTGCCTGGATGCAGGGTTGGGCACTGTGCCCAGCTCCCAGAGCACAGCACATACCAGGGTGACCATGTCCCAGAGGTCCTTCAGCAGGCGCAGCTCCTTGCGGCACATTTTGAGCTGTTTGTACTCTGGGAATGACACCTCAAACAGTGCAGCTGAGGAGGCCAGGGCTTCCATTTCCTTCTCCAAGGCCGTGATGCTCTTATGTTGCTGTATGGAGGAAAGGAAAAGGTGTCAGCCAGGGACTGTGCATCAGGGACATGTCTCTGTTCCTGCAGGGGCTCCATCCCTGCTGCAGGTCCAGAGGAGAGCTGGAGCCAGACCTGGAGCAGCTGCCCCTCCCCAGCACCCAGTGTCAGGATGGCCAGCGGGGACAGCAGTGGCCCTGGTGTCCTCCCCTTCCTTACCTTGTTCAGTGACTTGTAGGGCTCTGGTTCTGTGTATGAGAAAGGAGCATTTTCCTGGAAGCTCTCCCGGAAGGCGAGCTGCTGGACCTGTGTGGGAGCACGAGGAGCACGGGGCT